TTACTGAAACAGAAGCAAAAATCCCAATTTTTAAGCAATGCAATTGATTGCTCTTTTGCTGCAATCGATTGCATCCTGTGAAAAACAGTTTTACGAATTCTGTAAAGTGTAGTACGAAAATCTTTTTGTCTCAATTCCAAAAACACAAAGTTTATGAAATAATATACAATCAAACATCCAATTATCATTTCTATCTACATACATCAATTACCACACAATTCAAAGCATCAATTCATCGATCATAGTCAATTTCAACGGATTAAATCAAACAATCTATACCAAAACCTAACATGCATATCATTACATCCTTACCATTGTACCACTTATTAGAGAGTCAGAACCCCGTCCTTACCTTAGGTTGTAGATTCCCAAACCTCTATTGTAACGTCCACTAATTTAATTAATTATTTAATTAAATTATTTTCGAATTATTTGTTGAAGTTGTGAGTTGTTGAGAATTGTTGGTATAAGTTACTAGATTATTACTAGATAATTAATTCGTTGATTAATTATGGTAATAATATTAGAATTAGTAGAATAATAGAATAATTATGTTGGGCCTAATTTTAATAGTTGTAAGTAGAAGTATAGAAGGTGTGTTGTTAAGCCCATTAGAAATAATAATATTATTATTAGGTTTAGTTATAATAATAAGAAATTAGGGTAATTAGAAAGATTAAGAAAGTCTTGGTGCAGTAACGTAGGACGTGGCAGAGAAGAGGAATAAGAAAAGAGGAAAATCTAGGTCAATCATAGAGTTACAGAGCAACCTTCAATCCAAGGTAAGGGTGGAGTTCTGACTCTATAATGGGAATTATGATGCATGTTATGTAGGGATAAGGTTGGTGTAATTGTTGTACGTATAACTGTGTTTCTGTATTATTGAATTGATGTTGAATTGGTATGCATCACCATTGATAATAATTGTCTGTGTTAGATTTTATCTATAATTGTTGTTAAGTTGCTATGTCGATGTAATATTGCATTGTATCTTGTTGTTGTGAAAATATTGTTAATCGAAGGAAGACTTGGAGAGTTCTGTGTTTGAATCAGTAAGTCTGAAGAAGCTGCGTGAGAAACACTCTGTGCCGGGGGGCACAAGTGTTGTGTCGGATGACACAAAGTGAAGGAATGTGCCAAGGGGCATACGAGCACGCCGACCGGCATGGTATAGAGATGATTGTGTCGAGGGGTACCCTAGGTGTGACGAGGGGCACGTCCCTAAAAACTTTGTTTCTCAGTTGTTATGTCTGTTCCTGGGTTTGTTACTTTATTAGTTCTAATTATTAACATATAGTAAATGTGTATTAGCAACAAGTTTAATTAAGTAGCAGAGTTAACGATAATAAGTAATCGAATTAGTAAATAATAGCAGAGATTAAGTAAATAAATTGTAGGATTATCGTATATAGCAGAGTAATGAGATTGGCAGGGGATTGGCTGAATTATGAGATTAATAGAGTTGGTAACAGCAGACAACATAGTGATGATCATTGTAGCACTAATTCACAAGAAGCAATACTAGAAGATATTTAGCAGGGGTGATAATTAAGTTACCGAGTCAGTGTTTAGGAGGAAATTTGGTAACTAAATATGCAGTAACAGTAAAGGCTATTAGTATTAGGAAAAATAGTAGTTCCATTTAATTAGCATGAATTGATTAGTAAAGTTCATTAGTAGAATATTTAGTAGAGTGGGATTAATAGGACCTGGTCAATAATAGTATTGGTATGTATATAAGTTGTTGTGATATTGTTGCTTTTAATCGTTGAAGTTACAGGTGGTGATGAATCATGTTGTATTGCCTATATAATTGACAATTATTGAGTTGTAGGCTTATGCCAGTGTTGTTATATGTTGTTGTTGTTGTTGCTTTTAATCAAGTTGTCGCATACATAGCATATCAAGTTGGGAGCTCATGCTCGGTAAATTGGCCTAGATTGATAAATATAAAGTTGAAGGCTTATGCCTTGTTGATGCCTCTATTAATTGGAAGATTATTAAGTTGAGATTTTTGTTCCAATCACATGCATGTACATAAAACAAATCGTACTTCATGTTCATCCTGAGTTGTTGTGTGAGTGAATTGATTATGTTAAATGTTGTTAAAAAGCTACGAAGTGGTGATTTTGTATGAACTGATTCCAACATATTATTTATCGTGTATTCTATTATATTTTGATATATGATCCCTTCTGTTTGAATGTTGCCCTATGTTGGTAACGTGCAGGTAATCCAGAATGAAGGTTGTTTACCTTCAGAAGTTTGAGACGGTGTCGTCGCTCTGATACGTAACACTCGCGGGGATGAACGTTGATTGCTTTATTGTTGTTATTACTTCAGTTGTTGAATTTTAAGTTGATTTTTGTTAAATACTTGTTATTGGAAGTTGTTCCGGTTGAATAAAGATGTTACATCCTTTTAAGTTGAATATTATGATTTCGCTGCGTAGTTATGAAGGTTGTTGGTTTTAAAAGACTAATTCATGTTGTTGTTGGTTCATCCAAGTTTAATGTGTTGTGTATCTGTGTTAAATATCGTTATTTTAAGTTGAAATTGTAGCATTCTGATTTGGTTGTCGAAATTTTATAACTCTGATTTTTATAATAATTATCTGGTAGAATTGGGGTGTTACATCTACGGCGAATTCTTCCCATTCCGAACGATTGTCTCTTTTTCTCTCTTTCCCGTTCTTCGCTTCTCTTCTCTCGTTCACAGAAAAATGTCATGATCTCACTTATAATTTTCCTCTTATGACCACTTAATCTATTGGACCCCTAAATCCATATTCCAACTTTGCCTTTTTATAATCAAAATAATAATAATATAATTATAAAAACTATAATTATTATTTTAATTCACATAATATTAATATTAAATCAACATTCTCCTTCCACCTCTATGTTTCTACATTTTTAGTCATACACCCTCAACACCTTATTTTCTTTATTTTCTAAGACAACTAGATCTCATCAAATGCATCTCAACACATAAAAACAGAACAATTCATATATTCACCAAAATCACCAATATTCACACTAAATTAATTAAATAGTTAATTTAGATTTTTAAGGTGTTACACGGGACAAGGTGTAGAGGACTAGTCAGGGGACCTACTCCTCGTCCACCAGATGACCATCCCTAACAATCTTGAATAGGTGCATCTGATTCAATCTAGGTTTGGATAGAAGAAAGCCACGTGTTCCTTCACCCTCTCAAATATTTATGTTATGTTATTTATTTGGTGTGTGTGATAACTAGGACTGACAATGAACTGAACCAACTCGAAAATAGTTCAGAACTCGGCTCGATAATTAAATCATTGAAATATATTCATGAATCAAATGAGCTGAATATGAGTTAAAAACTAAGTTCGTTAACTAAATGAGCTGAACTTGAACTATACATTGTTCGACTCGTTAGATTCATGAGTCAACCCAATTATATATGAGTTAGATTATATTGTCTTTAAGTGTAGGCTTAAAAATTTGCTTCAAATCTTAACCCTATATTTTCTTATAATCTAACGGTTTTAATTGATAATTTATATTCTCAAGGGAGCAAAATATTTCCAAAAATAATTATACAAATAAAATCAACATCATACATTCCAATCTTAGAACTTTTATTTATTTCTATATTTTTATTTAAAATATATTAATTTAAAATGTTAAATATATAAAAGGAAATAGACTTTAAAAAATTACTTTTAAGTCTGTGAAACAAATGAACCTAACGAGATGAACTTAACCAGTTGAACCGAGTTGTTCGTGAACTTCTAATGAGTCAAGTTCGAATTGAAAAAAAAATTTATTATGAACTCGAAGTGATATTTGAACTGAACAAATTCTTAACGAGTCGAGCTGAGTTCTACTCGACTCATTTCCAGCTCTAATTAAATAAATATCTATGTTAAGTTATAATTTTCTTCATCATCTGTCTGAAATTGTTTCTATTTTTTGTGATAATAGGGTAGATTTTAGATTTTGAAATCTAAACAGACTCTTTAACTTTGATTTTACTTTTGATTTTACTTGGTGTGGAGTGGTATGTTAAGGCGCATTCAAATTTTAATTTCCATATGTTGTTGATTTGAATTTCAAAATTCAAATACATACTTGCTATGATTTGACTTGTTTTTAGAGTTTGTTGTATATTTAGTGTATCTGGATTTCAAAATCCAAATTCTGACTATTTTTGAAATTTTGTTGGAGTGTGTGAGTAAGACATTGAAGTAATGAGTAATTCCCTACAAATAATTATAATTTAAAATAATATATAAATAGTTGGTTTTGTAGACTATTTATATATTTCAATTCAAGCAAAAATTGGTTCATCCTAAACAGAAAATGAACACATTATATCTTGAAGCCTGGCATTTTGAATTCAAGCAAAAGACATCCACTTACAAAGTTAAAACATGAAGTAATTGATTTAGTTAGTGATTTTTTTTTATATGAACTTGGTCTCTAGTCAGTGAATTGCCTTCCTGTCATGATGCTGGATCTACCATAATAATAACAATACTAATCCAAGGGAGTTCATATGCTTGTTAAATACAACAGACAAAAACTAATACATAAGTATGTTTAGTCCCACTTTTCTGAAAAATCATCACCAGTTGTTCCTCTTCGAACTCTTTTGGTTAGTTTTTAGTCCTTTTTTTTCCTAACCGGGAGGAACCAACTGTTATCATTTTCATAAAAGAGACAAAAAGTTGACAGATTGTTTGAGACTAAAACCAGTAATTACTCCCATTTTGGGGGACAGACATTAAATATACTGGATTAGCATTGCACAACAATCATAGTAGATACTCACACACATTGATTAGGTCCAAGGTAGTAACATGATTCACAAAATAAATACTTAACATTAATGAAAAGACAACCAACGTGCTAGGCTAGGCTAGGCTCCGCTACTCTCGCTCGAGCTACTAGCTTTCTTGCATAACATTTTTACTGACTAATCTGAATCCAGCACTGTTTCATAAAGAAATATCAACGGCGTTTCTTCCCAGTAGTTGCCTCCCATGCCTGTAAGACATGATTTACAATTTCTTCTACCCCAACATTGTGCTTCACCTGCACATTCATTCGGAAATAAAGTTAACCAAGAGAAATGAAAAAATGCCGGGCTATCGTCATTCGAAATACAAGACAGGTCATATAAATAATGTGGTTAGGATAATAGAAATTGAAAATCTGAAAAGAAAAGAAAAATCCTGTGCTATAAGGTGTGTGATTCGGTGAATACTGCATAACTCACAACAAGCTGTGTTATTATTTGCGTTAAAGATGTTACACGGAAGCCCAACGTGCTCATAATACTTTGTTTCCTAATTTCCTTCCATATTTTGAACCAGCTTAAATAGTTATAGAGGCAGAAGTAAAATTTGAGTAAGAAAAATGCTTCATATAATCTTTGACGCACTTCTATAAATAAAATGAGATAAACACACACACACACATTCAATGCTATATAGCCAAGTTTCAATTATAGATCCTATTTCTCACACCATTGCCATTATAAATTCTCATTCACACCCTTGCTGACTTATTTCCAAATCAAAAAACAAATCTAAGATTCACTATGCAAAATATTCATCAATTAATCTATGAATCAATTTTCTCGGATATGTATTGATAGAACATTATGGCGCAGTTTGATCCATGTAGTCAACCTCACTTACTGGGATAAGACTTAGTTATTATTGTTGTAACTTGTATGCATTGGTATAAATTCAAATTGTGGATCCATGCAGTTGTTTGTGAATAATTCAGTTGTTTAAACAATTAAAAATAAGCAACTACAACCAGAGACAAAGTCACAAAGGCAGAATGTTCATCGGTTTTATGCTTATTCATAATTGTAAGATAAGGCCATTCACTTAGTATTATGCTTCCTTACTTACTATTATGAAAGATGAAATAACAACTTCAGAACACTTTCAACAATGGGAAAGCAAAGTGAGCTCAACAGAAAAGCAAAAAGGAAAGGAAACTCACATGGAAAGGATAACTAAAGCAAGCACAAATAATTTGAAAAATAACATGGAAAGAAGGCAATCATTATTCTTGGGAGGAATAACTTCTCTTCTAAATTGATTACTTATACCAGCTTTGATCGATCAACTCTTGATGTGCTTACTGTGTGACTGACAGATTTCTTGACTTCAGAGAATCCGAGTTTTGCTGCATATATTCAAAGCCACAAAAGGTGCAAGAAACACTAGAATTTTTTTTAACTAACCTGAGCAAATACAAATGGCCCGCCGTCTCTCATCCTAAGAGCATCGCGCTGCATGACACCCAAGTCAGCCCCAATTGCTTGTGCAAGGTCGGTCTTGTTAATCACCTGGAATCAAGTCCAATTAGTTGCATAGATCAATTTATGAGTGTCACAGACAATCATGCAGCATATAGCACTTACAAGGAGATCGGCTTGCGTGATTCCCGGACCACCTTTCCTAGGAATTTTATCACCACCAGACACATCAATGATGTAAATAATATAGTCAGCCAGTTCCCTGCTGAAATTGGCAGCCAAGTTATCTGCACAAAAAACTCAAGTCAACATCCAAACTTTTTGGTATCAAACTCGTATAACTATAACACAGTCACTAAATCGTCATTTAAGTCCTTGAAATTTTAGGCGTCAGACAATTTAGTCTTTTAAAATAACAAAATGTTACCTAAAACTGAAAATCGTTGATCAAATTAGTCCATCCCCAGCAAATTCAAGAACTAAACTGACAAATCCAAAAGTACTAATATGATCAAAGTTTTTCCAATTTCATACATCATTTTCATCGAGCTTAAGTGAAGAACCAATGTTTTGAAGAACCCGGGATCGAATCCAGGCTAACACAATCTTCGGTCAGACTTTACTTACCTTCGGTCAAACAAAAACAAAGACATCATCTTGGTAAATTTAAGGGGCTAAATTTTTGGACGCCCATAGTTTAAGGACTAAATTGACTATTCAGTGGATACTAGAACAACAACAATCAAGCTTTATACTACTAAGTGAGGTCAGCTACATGAATCAACTTATGTTATAATGTTCTATCCAGAACCATGCTTCTATTATGTGGATACAAGAACAACAACAACATCAATAATTAAGCCTTATCCCACTAAATAGGGTCGGCTACATGAATCAACGTATGTCATAATGTTCTATCCAGAAGGATGGTTCTATTCGGTGGATAACATACTAAAAACAATTATTCTAACTGAATTAGAAACACAATGAGCAGGTAAAAACCTATTGAAGTGATTAATACTAATAACAATACCTCCTCCAGATTCACAGAGAAGTAGATCAGCTTTATAAAGATTGGAAAGCTCTTCAAGCGGTCCAAGATTAATACTAATGTCCTCCCGAATCGCAGCATGAGGACAGCCACCAGTTTCAACAGCACGAATCCTTTCCTCCGGAAGTGCTTTGTGCTTAACCAAGAACTCACCATCTTCTTTTGTAAAAATATCATTCGTGACAGCAGCGAGACTGTAACGATCCCTTAGGTTTTGACAAAGGGCTAACATCAAAGCGGTTTTGCCAGTACCAACGGGTCCACCAATGCCGACGGTGAAAGCTCTTTCATTGAAATCTCTGTTGATGAGAGGTTGAGCTCTTCTGCTGAAGAATCCAGGTGAGTAGATTGGTTCGTGAGAATGCGGTGCAAGACCGTCGTGGCTGTGGTATACTTTCCCGTCGGCGCCGACAAATGAACCGTCGTGAAGGTCGTGCTTGTGGTCATGGTGATGGTCGTGGTCGTGTGTGTGCTCGCCTCCAGAAGCCATTTGTTGGATGTTAGCAAACTAGATTATCTCAATTTCCAATGTTACTATTATTATATTTTCGAAATATCTTCTGGCTAACAAATGTTTATAAAAGAAGTAAAATGAAGCTTTTTAAAAATATACTTAAAGAATTGGCTATACGAAAGATATATATTATATTTGATTTTCTAATAAATTCTATTTTTTAATAGTATGAAACAAAAAAATATCACAAAAATTAATATTATTAATTTTTTTTAGTCTTGTATCTAAAAATTAATAAATATTAAAATTAAATGTATTTTTAGTTTCTATTTTAGTTAGATAATTTTTATTGTTTTTTTGTCATTACAAACCTTATGGAAACTAACACCTAATTTGAGAAAAAAGATTAACATATTATCATATATAAGAGTGGAGCAACGTGTTTTCATATAGATATAGAATTTATTAAAAAGTCATGTAAAAAGATTTGTTTGAACTTAAAAATTATTTCATGAGAGAATTTGATTATCTAACCTAGAATATTGATTATTGTTCTGGACTGAGTCTGCCTTTGACCCAACTATCAGTGAGGCACAATTCAAGCTTGCCAACCTCCTGCGTTGAACAGTATATCCACCGAGCACACCCCGATCATAGGTATCTGATCGGCTATGATTGCTTTCAGTCGGTGTTCGCGAAGAACGTCCCCGACGAGCACGCGCTCCCTCCGAGCACCCTCCTCGTAGGGTTGACTTTCAACCTCTCCGGATTTTGCGAAGTCTTCATGGTCCCGGAAAGATCGTGTCTTTATCCTCTCTGTCTTGCGGAGGACGTCATACAGGTAGGGGCCATCGTCCAGAAGACCGAAGTAGCACTCGAGGCCATCGTCCAGAAGCACGATGAGACCTTGAGAGAATTCATTAACCGCTTCAACTGGGAAGCCATCCAGGTCCCCTGCACGGACCATGTGAAGAGATACCTGCTGGAGAGGGGGATCCTCCCCGACACCGAATTCAGAAAAGTCGTGGGCATCGAACCACCCCGGACGTTTGATGCCCTCCTCGAAAAGGCCAGGGCCTACATGAACTACGAGGAGAGAGAATGTTAAAGTGGTCCTTGGAACTTTCTGAATTCGACGTCCAATACGAGAGCAGGAAGGACCTAAAGGCACAAGCTTTAGCCGATTTCATCACTGAGATGACCGCTCATAACCCCCCCCCCATAGGGAAAGAGCACAAGTGGATCATCTTCGTCGATGAAGCTTCTAGCTCGACCGGGAGCAGTGCGGGAATCCTCCTAGAGAACGAGGAAGGCGTGGTAGTCGAGCATTCGCTCACCCTCTCCTTTCCCACCTCGAACAACTAGGCAGAATACGAGGCCTTGCTCGCAGGTCTAAGACTGGCCGAGGATTTAGGCGCCTGTGAGATACAAATCTTCACCGACTCTCAACTCGTCGCGTCCCAAGTCCAAGGGGAATACCAGGCTAAGAACAACAGTCTCATCGAATATCTGAACTTGGTCAAAAAGCATATGAAAAGGTTCGATCGGGCAGAAATTTCTCACGTACCACACAAGCAAAACACAATAGTCGATATACTTTCGAAGTTCGCAAGCACGAAAAAGAAAGGCGGAAACAAATCTGTCATACAAGAGTCGCTATCTCGCCCGAGCATCGAAAAATCCACGACTCTACCCGAGGTAAACGCCATCGGAGACAGCTCGTGCTGGATGACCCCGGTATTCAACTTCCTAACGAATGAGGGAACTCCCCCTGGACCGAAGAGAAGCAGCCGCGACCAAACGACGAGCATGCTCCTACGTGGTACTCGAGCAAAAATTATATCGTAGGGGATTTTCCATCCCACTCTTGAAGTGCATCAAAGAATCCGCAGTCCCCGGGATATTACGGGAAATGCACGAAGGGATCAATGCCCAACACATGGGCAGCAAGTCCCTAGCGAGGAAAGCGTTGCGAGTGGGGTATTACTGGCCGACAATGTAGCAATACGCCAAAGACCACATCAAGAGATGTGACAAATGCCAAAGGCATGCCGACATGCACCTCGCCCCTCCACACGAGCTAAACATATTATCATCCCCATGGCCATTTGCCTGGTGGGGAATGGACATCCTCGGACCATTCGTGCAAGGGACGTACCAAAACAAATTCATCATCGTAGCCGTAGATTATTTCACAAAGTGGGTAGAGGCCTAACCCCTTGCAAAAATCACTTTGCATAACATCCTCCGCTTCTACAAACAAAATGTGTTCACCCGGTTCGGAATCCCGCAGGCGCTCATCACAGATAACGGTACCCAATCCACCGACCAAGGCTTCCAAAGCTTCGTTGCCAAACTCGGCACCAAACATCATTTTACCTCATTCGAGCATCCCCAAACTAACGGGCAAGCCGAGGCCGCGAACAGGGTCATCTTGCGAGGACTCAAGCGTAGGTTAGGCGAAGCAAAGAGGGGATGGGTTGAAGAACTATATAGCGTTATATGGGCTTACCGCACGATGCCTCATTCGACGACGGGTGAGACCCCATTCCGACTGACCTACGGCACCGAGGCAGTCATCCCGGTAGAGATCATGGAGCCATCTAGGCAAACTGAGATGCCTCTCGACGAGGAGATGAACGACGAGGCTCTGAGAGATGAGCTCGACCTTGTCGAAGAAATCCGATCAGGAGCATCCCTGTGCGAGGCCACTCTAAAACAACAGGTAGTCATACGCCACAACAGCAAAGTCATAAGACGTGAATTTTAGGTCGGCAGCCTAGTCTTGCAAAGAAACCAGAAAGATTCCCGCGAAGGAAAATTGGCCGCAAACTGGGAGGGACCTTATCGCGTCCAGGGAGCTACGGGCACCAGAGCATATTATCTCGAGCAATTAAATGGAGAACCGTTACCACGACACTGGAATACTGTGAAGCTAAAACAATATTATAGCTAAAGCCCTCACCTGCTGGATGACTTTTGCCGTCGAATAGCCACCTTCAGTCGACGAAGGGAAAAGCTCGACCATGTAGGCGAGTCGAGGTACGGGCCCGACCTACCAACCAACGAAGGCATATTGTCGCTCATTTCGACGAACCAAACATACATGCCCAGCAGGGACACCTCGACCGAGCTCCACTGTCGAAGTACCCCACATGGAAGAACACCCAGCTCGCGATGGGAAGTTCACCCCACGAGCGTAGGATCCAGATCAGGATCATACGCCCGACACGCGGATTCCCACTCCGTGCATTCGACACATTTCAAAGTGTGTCGAACCGACATAGGGGTCGAACGGATATCTCCATATGAACACCAACTTCATCAAAAATTCATAACTAAGATAACGGTCGGGAATATACGTCAAATATTATTATCAGATAACTGTAAACAAAGCATTCATCAAATAGGCAGTCATAAACAAAGATCAATAATATACCGACCACAAGGGTCGGTGTTGTCCAAAATTACAATCCAGGCACGACAGCCAAAAAACTAAAAGAATGAAGGCAGGCACGAAGGCCCCAAAAACAACAACGAACACGCATGCCCAAACACCAATAAAAGCACCAATCACTTCTCGGAGTACCAACGTCGACATCAGGAGAGTCAGGAGGAGGCATAACCCGACCATCGAAAACCTGGGATAGAACCTCAGTCCCTTCGATATTCAACCCCAGATTTAGCACAGACAGTTGATTCACTGCAGACTCAAAGCCATCGGCCAAAGCGCCAACACAGTCTGACTCCAGAAGTTGAATGCGAGCGATGAAGTCAGCATGCGTGCGTAAGTCGGCTACCCTTTTAGGCTCGTCCTCCGTAGGCAGCATAACAGCCTTCAGATCTTCGACCTCTCTCAACAGTTGTTGGTTGTCACTCTCCAACTGCTCCTTATCAAACTGGAGGCAGTCTTTTTCCTTAAGAGCTATGTCGGCCCTCTCTTTCTCCCCCGACAACACGTAGGACTGCTCCCGAAACATTTCCTCGGAGCGTTCGAGAGCAGCCTTCAGTTTACGGGATTTGGCCATTAGAGCCGCTTTCACCGACTCCAGCTCCTTGACCCGATCCAAGGAGTCCGACCATTCGCCCGCAAGGACAACTGCCACCTCGGCCATTTTCACCACCCTGATCATGATGCCAGCAAGGTGTTTCCTCCGACCTTCCTTGTCGAGCCTCCTGATGATATTGGCTTCGTTGTTAGATACGGACAAGGGAAAGCCCTCAAAGAAATCATTTTCCACAAAACAGGGTGGCAGGCTGAAGGCCCGAGCACCCGCCCCTCCATCGGTCACTTCGACCCCACCTTCTGGTCGACTCTGTTTCTTGCTAATCAAAGCAGATTGGTGCTCAGTGTCTTGGGAACCCGAGGACCCACTAAATCCTTCCTTGCCCGACTCAGGGGTCGGACCCATTCGCGTGGCTTGTTGCGGCTTCACCAACCTCTTGCTGATCTTCTTGTCTTGAGTCAGCTTCAGCAACCTCTCGCGACGCTCTGCCATGCAACTTGCAAAGGAAATGTACTTGGGTTAGCCACATTGAAGAAAACAAATAAAGAGGACTATCAGTAGAGCAAAGCAAGAAACCTAAGAGCTCTACGGCCTGCCCGTAAGACTGGAATTCAACGAGCACCTTGGTGTTAATCGAACGGGCCTCAAACGTTGGCTCGCCATCCTCATCAAGAACGACGTCCCCTTCCCTCGTAACCCACCGATCAGGAAAGAAACCATCGACAAATTTGTTCAGGACGCCATAAGCCTCCTCGTCCTCAGCGTTCATATCGCCAGCAGGAGTGTGGTAGTATCCAAGTCCATGGTCGTAATTGCCCGAACACCAGTGGATGGGAAACTTTGAGACTTTCCCAATCTCGGGATTACCCTCAGCATCCAAACACGGCTCCCCGTCCTCGTCCACCACAGCGGCCGGTTCGAATAGGGAATCCATGGCTGTCTGAGTAAACGGTTGCAAAATATACCACTTATCCTTGAAATCTCGCACAGAATCCATATACATCCTAAACATTCTCTTCGACTGTTTAAGGGACACCCAGTTGTGCTTCCCTCCTCGGGATTGCCGTTGCAGGTGAAAAACCCTAAAGAATAGGGGAATCGTTACCCCGATCCTCAGGAAGCGGCATGTGAGTTCGAATTCCTGGATAAAGGCGGTCGCGTTAGGATGAATCTGGGAGGGGGGCAGGTTCAAGTGATTGAACACTCTCACCTGGAAGTCGTTGAAAGGTAATCGGAGCCCGAGATCTTTAAATATGATCTCGTACATGGGAAAGGTGTTCTGTCTAAACTCCGAGCAGATGCGGGCATCCCTCGTCGACCTCATGATCTTAAAGTTTCTCTGAAATCCCTCCTGGCCGTCGCCGTACTCGACGACAGTGTAAGCTTGTCTACTGGTATAGCTATAGATCGAAGTTATTCCCCAAGGTTTCGCACCAACCCAGTCCAGAGTAGGGTCGTCAACGGTGTCGACCAGATTCATGCTTTCATCGGCAGTGCTTGTTTCCTCGGTATCGTTATGCTCCGAGGACTCATGAATATCGGCCATTTACCTGTAAAGTACAGGAAACTGGTGAATTTGACAGCAAATCCGCTTTTCTGCCACACAGACGGGGAGAAGTAAGTAACACTCAGACCGAGTCAACGACCATTCGCACGAAAGACGGGGAACACGTGGACCTCGACCAAACACCAACCTTAACGACAGAGGTATATCAATCATAAATGTCATGAGCATAGCATGAATATCACGAGCAAAGGATGAATTTCACGACCAAGTTCCTAACATTGCTAGCCAGATACAAGAATACCATGGGGAAAACTAGCCTACATACTAACGAAAGGATGAATCCCCCGACCAAGTTCATAAATCTATTAGCCAAACACATGAATATCACTGGCACGATCATAAACCGTATGCCTAAACCTATGAATACCGCGGGCGTGATCATGAATCAGACTCCTAGAGTGCTTGAATTTCCCGGGCACAATCCCCATACATGAAATTCTACCACTAAACACCATCAAAATATATCTACAACACGAGATATCAAAGAAAAAGAACACTTACTTGGAAGAAGAGTGAGGAGCGACAGTTGTGGAGATGAACACACGGAGGACGGTGCGGCGGTCTCAACGACACTAGGAAAATATGCAGCGTTGAAGGCAGAGAAAATATGAGAACGTGAAAATGTGAAAACAAGTTATGGGCCCTGAAACCCTATTTATAGAGATGATGTTGAATACGAAACGTCGCGTCGGGGAATCACAAGCCTCCTTCATCCTCGACGCCTACTCGCGTAGACAATGATGACCCCTACTCCCTAGGCCGCCATTATGGTTTCCAAGAGCCACGCCACATGTCTGACTAGTGTATCACCCCCTCCCCGCGAGTGTTTCTCGAACACTCCTCGACCGTTGCACGAAGCAAATCACGAACCGGGCAACGTCTCACGTCCAAGATTGAAAAACTCTGTGTCGTGTAGCGAGTCTCGCGAAGGGGCGAACTTGAATCAAGTCATAACTCCCGTACCAGGAGCAACGACTTGGGGGGCTCCTGTTCTGGACTGGGCCTACCCTTGGCCCAACCACCAGTGAGGCCCAGTCCAAGCTTGCCAACATGCTGCGCTGAGTAGTATACCCATCGAGCACACCCCGATCATAGGTATCTGGTCGGCTATAATTGCTTCCCGCCGATGCTCGCGAAGAACGTCCCCGACGAGCATGCGCTCCCTCCGAGCACCCTCCTCGTAGGGCTGACTTTCAACCTCTCCAGATTTCGCGGAGGCTTTATGGTCCCGGAAAGATCGCGTCTTTATCCTTCATCTCTTGCGGAGGACGTCATCCAAGTAGGGGGCCACGTGCGGGTCTCCACTACATACGTAGAACCTGACAGTCTCTTTGTTAGGCCTGTTTGATCAGTCCAATAAAGAGACCTTAGCCAAGTGCTGGGGGATATAAATACTCTCTCTTTCGAGAGGGTCAGGTATTCAATCATTCACACCTAAATTCATACTTGCTTACTCATTCCTCCTCTCACTTTGCCATCAGAGTGTCTTGCAGGTACCCCCCCTATCTCCTTCAAACTCAGCCCGAAGCCAGTTGTGACGGTCCAACTCTAATCAGGTAAGATTAATTATGAATTAGAGGATCAAGAGAAAAGCAAAGAGAAGAAATCTCATGGGAGTGTCATTGATCAAATGGTGGGATTTAAAGGGTGAAAACAAGTATATTTCCAACGCAAGATCTTGGACGAAGGGTTTGGACAATCATAGAAATGCAAATGATATATGGAATAAGATGATCTAAGAGAATAGAAAAATAACTAAATAGATTATAAAATTAGCTATAAAGAGAGAATCAAGAGGTTATAGACCCAGGGGTATACAATTGTGGTGGTGGAATGAAAGTCTTTGGAGTAAACTTAAAGTGTAAAATGGTTGTTTTAAAGAAAGGTCTAAGTGTAAAAATATCGAAACTTGGAAAAAGTATAATGAGTGATAATCTCTTGCTGTGTAGGGTTGTTAGAGATGTTAGGGTTTAGGATATGTTAAGAGTTCGCCTACTTGGGGATTATGGAGAGCTCATGTGTGCTTTTATGAGGAGTTTTCTGATCCCTTTCCCCTTCCCTCAATAGGGTATATATGGGAGATCCTTTGGGATTGAGTTAGAGGCCAAGATGATGGTTCCTCTTATTTCATTCGAAGACATGGGAGTAGGAAGACTGGACTCTTTCCTGTAATTATGGAGAAGTAGTTATTCCCCTCCCTTGATTGAGTATGTGTGAGCCATATACCTCCTCAATTGAATCGATATGGAACATGATTGGGTTAGGGAGGATGAGCTCAGGTCCAATTATAATGATCATCTTTGAGGCGCCCAAAGTAACCATTTGTACTGGAGGCTTGTTACACTGTATCGAGCAAGTACCTCAGTGTGGGTGCAATTGCTTTTCCTTCTGTCGTTTGAGCTACTACTCCCAAGGCCCGGTAAAATCATCTCAGTCTACATCCCCTCAAACACAAGTTCTTAGAAAGAGCAAAGTGATTTAACAATTTAAGAGTTTCCAATGATGATTATTGTTAGAAAGTTACAACGCTTGAAAGAGAACTCACTTTCAAGTTTAGTGTTATGGTGATGGTAGCCAAGGGCAAGAGGTTGATCAAAAAGAGCTAACACAGCTTAGCATGTTTGGTCTTTAGTTTGTAGTTGTAGGACACTTTTGATGGTTATGATTGCTACTTGTAAACAACATGAAAGTCCTACGTTGAATTTTAAACAACAAATGAAAATGGTTTATAAAGCTCTTTCACCCATGCGTTGTTAAAATTTTAAAATTGAGTTACTGATGGAAATTACACGTGTTATAGCTCAGATTTTATTTTAAAATTTCTAAAATAAAATTCATGAAATTATCAAAAAAAATTAATTATTAAAAGTATTAATAAAAATAATTTTAAGAAAGAAATAATAAAGTTTTAATTTTTTTAAATTTTTTAATAATTTTTTAAGTATCACATGAAAGGAAAAAATCTAATTAAAAGATAAAAAAAAAACTAAATTTTTTTTAGAGTGACTAAAACTGCATTTAAACATAATTTTTTTAATTAAAAAATTAGAATGAAACATTAAATTAAATTAAAAAATATAAAAAAATAAGCATATATAAACATAACCCAACATTTTAATAAATTTATTATTACAATTAATTTTCAAAATATTTGTAAATTTTGTTGTTTGAGGCAAAATACTACACACAAAATGGAGCAAATATGAAAGCACGGTGAATGAACAAAGGAAAGCGGTTGAGGAAAAAGAACGAAACCCTAGCGAACCGTCGAATTAGGTTTAAACATGACAGGGACGGAGGAGCCACCGGCGAAGAAGAGAGTTGTAACGGAATCGCTAGGATGGCTAACGGAATCGTCGATTATGCCAAAGAAGCACAGAGCCATAGAAGGTGTTGGAGCATCCTCCATCCTCGAATTGAAAGCTCAACTCTACAAATCTCAAGAAGATTCCAGAAAGTCCAGAGAATTATCCGGCACCGACGCCGAATTTCAACGCGCTAAGAATTTCATCGCCTCCAAAGATCACTTCTCCAAAAAGAACTCCGGCGTCGGCGCGCGTGCTCTCAAGTAAAGCTTTTTCCCCAATTCTATTTTAATTATTTTATATTTTAATGAATTAGTTTGGTGAATTTGTTATTATACTTAATTGAATTTGTGTTTGTTGTTGATTGGGATTGTGTTTGTGTGTTGTTATGATTAGGGATAAACTTGAGTTGAAAGCTGTTAATGATGGATCAGTGAGCTATGCAGCGTTGGAGAAGAAGGCTGCATTGTATGATAAGTTAGTTAAGGGGGAATTGTCTGATGAAGAGGATAAAGAGAAGTATTGTGTTGATTTTTTTCGTAAAGGGGATGATGGTGATGATGTTTCTACCACTTCGAATGTGTTTCAAGAAAATGAACACGGTGATGGTGATGCTTTTTCGCTGTTTAATGTGAAGCCTGTTGGGCTTGGTCGAGCTGCTGGAGTAGTTGATGGGACTGAGCACAAGCGAAATATTAGGTATGCGATTTGTCTCCTTAGAACTTTTTTTTTGTTTTGTTGAAAATGCGATGTTTTTGTTCTATATAGCGGGGATAGACTCCATGCAAAAGTTCTTAGTGTGTGTCTTTGTTTGATTGTTTGGAAATGTAGCTTTGGATGATATTGATATTAAATTTGGCTGAAATACATATAGTCTTGAAGGGGTGTGATTTATGTTTGGATACCTTTGTTTGGAATGTGATTTTGGGCAATTAGTGTTGTTTGGTTAGATTAAAAGCAATTTTGTATGCATAATTCCCAAAATAGGCTTAGTAGGTTGGAGTGATATGGTTTCCTTTCAAATTTCAAGGTTATAAATGTCAAGATTTCTATGAAGGGCTTTTGGTTCAATGCGGAAACTAAGTTTGTTTGGCTAATGTGATACAAAGATTAGTGAGGAGTCTATGTATTACAATTCAAACTTGGTGAGAAATTGAGGGAAAGGAAAGTGAAAGAATTCTTTTTTGAGAGTGGAGAAGAAAATTTAGAACTTTTTATATTTCTGAAAATGATCATAATGAAGATTACATGGTGCAGAGTCTAAATCTCTATATAGAAGTCCAATGAGCTTGCTCGCTGCTTTTAACTATCAGTTAGTTAAGTAACTCTTAACTAATACACGCTACAAGAATCCGAGACTAAACATATAAGTAGCAATAATGGCTATAATTTATAGCAGAAATAGTCTATGTGAATTAGGGATGACAAAAAATCCGTACCCGCAGATATCTGCGGATAAAATCCGTCATGGGTATGGGGCGGGTAGCTTAATAGATATCCGCGGATAAAATAAATGGATATTTAAATATCTATTTAGTAATGAATATGGATATGGGTTTAATGATACCCATGCCTGCGGATATCCGTATCCGTTAAGAAATTATAAGAATCATTTAAATATTAGTTTAATATACTCTGTCTTTTTATCTTCTAAGAAACTAGTCTTCTCATTTCTTTTTTTGAAGTTTTCTTTAAAGAAAACCTTTTACATTCCATATAAATCATATTGACCTTTTCATATTTAAGCTTCTTCTTTACTTTGTACCTCATTTCAACAATTCCACCGTCCAACCAACCACTTTCCTTGTCCAACTATTGTCTTCCTTTCTTCTCCTCCGTCGTACGCTCTTTACATGAATATTATGTTTTGGTGAAAATAAAGAAAATTAATGTGATGAAATTTTGTTGTTAAAATAAGAGATATTTGTATGGATGTTATGAGATAATAACTTCTTGTGTTTTTAAAAGAAATTGAAAAAATATATATATTTTTAAATTTTAGAAAAAAATTACTATCCATGGATATTTGTAAATATCCACAGATATCTTAATACCCGTGAATTATCCGTTTAGCGGATACCCGCACAGATATGGATATCATATTTATCCAACGGGGCGGACACGGATATCATACTATCCGTCCCCATGAATATCCATTCACATTGTGAATACAATGGAAACAAAACAGCAATGCTGCTAGCAGTAGAACAGAATAGTTATCAATTCTCTAACACCCCTCCTCAATGAATCTAGCAGTAGAGTGCAGTAATTATGAATTCTCTTGCACCCTCCTCGTAATTCAAGGTGCATGCACCATTGTCTCTGTGTATCAACTATCAAGTCTCGAGCAGATAAGGCTTTTATTAGTACTATATCAGCTAGTTGATCATCAGATTGGATATGATACACCACTAGACTCTTGCTCAACATTTTTTTCTCTCACAAAGAATATATTCAACTCCACACGGCCTTAGTTGGGAATGTAAAATATGATTGAGTTAAGGCAACAGTGCTCATATTGTCATAAAGCATCTGAGGTGTTAAAGCTGACACCTGTAACTAATGCAATAGTGAATTAGTGATTGGGTACCCATTTGTTCACTGATCTATAACTTTTAATTTTGGCTTAGGTAGGGGTGAGTTTTTTCTATGTTTGAACTTTTTTATCCATGATTATTATAAGCAATTACTTAGTTTAATTTGTGAGTCTGACTAATGTAATTTTTTTTCAATATTTTTTTTATTTGCAGGGAAGTTCACGAAGAAGCTAATCTTGCGAGAGAAAAGACTTCAGAAATTAAACTACGCAGACAGGAGCAGTTAGCTGCTCAACGTAAGAAACTTAAACAAGCCTATCTTCGGAAAAAATTGGAGCAACTGAAGTCTGCTTCTGTTGAATCTGGGTCTGAGATTAAGCACACGTGATGTACGTGCCAACGCTTCTCCATAATTTCTATAGGTGGATGGAGTGAAACCAAAATTTTCTTAAAAGGAAGACATGAGGAATTAAAAACAGACTAAACATGTGTGTTATTATTCACTGGAGTTACAGCATTGGTATTCCTGTGATGCAAAACAACCACCTCAACCTGGGATAAACAAAAAAAGAAAGGTGAGAAAAGAAAAAGAAGCAGAAGAAAACTCGATTTTCTGTTGTAAATGATGTAATTTGACAAGTTCTGTATACATGAGTTATTGATACAGGTTTGAGCAAACTCTGCCTTTAATTTTGTTTGCCAAACCTGAAATAGACCAGTCTTTCTTTGACCTTCAACCGATTTCAGTGATCTGAATTCACTATTGTCATGTTCTTGTTCGTATTCAACTGATTTCAGTGATTTGAATTCACTTTTGTCGTGCTCTTGTTCGTTTTAGTAGCGAAAGAAATACAAAAACAAATTTGGGTTTTGTTTTCCTGTTGTATCATAAATAAAATGAGTTAGAATATACAGAAATGTTATTTTGACATCTAAAAAGATGTCCACACCGTTTATTAATACGGTTTGTTCTCCTTCCACTTATTACATTGTGAGAGGCATGTTTTTGAAATCCATTAATGCTCATACGGTGTCTTGTTTTGATGTCCAAAATATCATTGCTGTAGAATATAATATGGAGGTACGGATAAGGCACTGAAATAAAAACAAGAATTATATTAGTGAATTTTTTAACACATCCTATGTCAAACAAGAATTATATTAGTGAATTTTTTAACACATCCTATGTCTTAAGCATTGTGCAAAAATATGATAATGTTATTAGATTCCGGAGATGTATTTTTTAGATGCACCAATCTTTTACTAAATTATCAATTATTTCGAAGAGATACACTTCTGAAATAATGTTGCATGTGTATTTCCGGCTTTTTGTCACAATCACAATACCATTTATATAATAAAATAAGTAATACATAAGAGATTTTAATATATATCGAACATTACACTTTAATATTTAGGTGGACGTTGCAACATCTTTATAATATCATCGACCGATTTCGAAATAGTTGCATCCAGTTCGATTGAAATTTTTGATTCTAAACGGGAAAAGTATTTCACATATCATAAATCATCGTTCGTCTTCAGCTCATGGTTGATGAACTCAAGCTTCCCTTCTTTGTCAACGGATGGCGAGCAGTACTGGATCTTCACAATTTTTCGATTGTCGGCATATGGTAGAAGGTCCTGCAATATGTATTGCAGATCTTCAAGAGGGATATTGATCTTAAACTTTCGTGACGGTGTATTGCTAGTAAAGTGAATATTTTTAACATGTCAAATGATTCACATTCTTTTTTTTTTTGGTATGAAACAATAAGACAAGTGAGCTTATTTATAGCAGTGGAAAGTCAATATAGACCTTACAAATCTTATCTCGTGACAGAGAAAGTTTATGAAATGTAACTCTGAAAACACTCTTATTCCTTCTCTGGAGATATATTTCTGAAATCTTCTCTGTTATTACAAAACAGAAATAGAACAGAAATATTGACATATATTAGACATATAAACATAATCATATATCAAATTATAAAATGCATATATTACACACCAAAACACATTAATAAAATGTCACTTACAATAAAGGGATAAATAATTATTTAAATTAATCGAAAAAATTATCGTCGGCCAAATCTATAGATTATACTCCCTTTGACTTTTCTTTATTTTTTTCTATTTCAATGTTGAGATATTTCAGATATTCTCGGGTCTTTTATGTTTCAAGGTTGCAAGTATGTTTTTGGGAGATACCGAATTTAATGTCATGTCAGAAACACATTCCTTCTATTTTGACAAAAGTCGACATGTAATTGCATGACCGACTAATTTTGCACATAAATCATGATTATGTAAATCACATATCAAATTAAATTTCCATTTATTATTTGTCAATCGATAACCACACACTTAAATGGACATACACACTTTTTTGAGACGGTGTCATCTCGTTTCAAATTCTGGAAATGAGGTCTATATTCACCACTTCTTTCGCATTCCAATGTTACAAATGTACTTCTTCTATCTAAACCATTAATTGACCTTCCGATCACAAAACCAAACTCTAGTTTGATGGCCTCTGTATGAATCCACTGCAGCATGTCATCACGAAATTCATATTCTTGTTCATTTTTAAAATGGTTCAAAATATCTACCACCTTTATTAGGAGAGGTGAAATAACTTGAGTCACAATAAGTTTGGTGATAGCATCAGGATGCACAATACCTAATGTAAACAAACATATAAACTAAGAAACAACCATAATAAGAATAAAATTACTGGAAAATCAATACAGACATATACCATAAATGTATATCCAGACGAGTTCATTGCGTTTTTGAAAATATACTTCGGGTATAAACATGACATTTTTTATTGAAAAATCATATTAATGTGATGAATGAGGGTTGAAATGAATGAACTTTATCTTAAATTCCACTTTTTTTAGCTCCTTTTGATATGATGGAATACAAGAATGAAGTTTTGGAGTGAAAATTTTGATTGAGAATGAAATCATTTTTGGAGAGGGTTTAAGGAAACTTTTGGAAATGAGGGTGATCATGTTGGTTCATGCTGGTTGTTGTTTTAGCAATTTGACTTTTGATTTTTTTGGATATATATTTCCAAAAATATCTCACATGCAAATGTGACAGAATTCTTAATTTTCCACACTAATATACCGGAGATACATATCTGGATATATCCCTGTAATAGTTTTAAATGTATTATTTCTATTATATTTTCGAAGATATATCTTCCATTTTTTTTAATTTCACAATAGAATAATACTATATTTTAGTCGCATTTATTTGATGTGAAGGATGTGTACGAAAATAGATTTATGATAACCAAAAGACAATTTTAAATTTTTATAAATTTTTTTTCATCTATATCTAAATAAAATGTAATAAAAAATCCTCTTATATTATACTGCCTATTTTTAGATGAGCATAAAAATATATTACATTTCTAATGTTTTTCTTCCAATATCTAAGGAAATTTTCATTCCGCGCGCGTTTGCCTTTTTTATTAACACTTTTTTTATTTTATAAATTTTCTCAAAAATTAAACTCTTTCGAGGAAATTTAATATTTAACACATAATCAAACTCTATAATTTTGTTGTAAATGATAGATAATGTAATTAAATATATATTTTTAATCTTCTCAAAACAGCAGTACTCAAACATGTTTAAAAAATTACTTTGGTCCCATATTAAATCAATTTCAAATGGAACTTTTTGGGTATTGTTAAATTCAAATTTTAAAATTTTGTTTTCAATACGATAACATTTATAGATATCATAAGATGTTGTCAACCCAGAGATTGAGGAATCTATTGTTGTTGGATTAGACGTTTAAGAATTTGATGTTGATCTTGTGGTTCCCAAACCGAATGTTGACAATAGTTGACGAAACGGATGTTGATAAAAGTTTTATGATTGAACAGAAGTTTCACTTACAAGATGGTATGTTGAAATGAGTTTGTAGTGAAGTAATGTTAGGTTTTGTCATTGTTATCGAGAGGATTGGTTCATGTTCTATTAGAGTAAAAAAGAAGATCAAGCTTCAATCATCAAAGAATCATTTCCAATCTTCAACATCTTCATTTCTAGAGATGGGTTCCTAGTTAGACTTAATCTTAGGTGGGAAAAATCCATGATATGACAACTAGGATTTATAAATCTTGGTTTTATGTGTGAAATTGAATTTGTTACATGTTCACTATGTTGCTTGCATACATATTTATGTTGAACCATATTCATTTGGTGTTTTTGGTGCAATATGATGAAACGTGCTGGAGTATGTTGGCGCTTTTTCCCTCCTGATGTGTTTTCTCACTGGCTGAGTTCTATGTTCCTCACTAGGTGAGAGAACTGCTCACTAAGCGAGCATAGCAGCCTCAATGGCAGAGTTATATTCTCATTCTCGCTAGGCAGAAACCTCGCTTTGATGTCTCGCTTGAGCTCCCTAAGTGAGGAAGAGAAATTCTCCATCTCTGGGATTTTTGTTTGGTCTCGCTGAGCAAGAGCTCTCAGGGAAGCGCGCTGAGTCTCGCTAAGCGAGAATGCCTTGTTTTGAGAAAGTTGTTTTGTTTCCCTGTTTCCCCCATAAAACGGGAATCGTAGCTCTGATTAACATGATGTCATATACATTAGAAAGTTAGTTCAATGCTCTACCTTTTAGGTAAAGAGATATCATGTTTGTGTTCCAATTATTTGTTGGATATTTAGTGAGGAATCTTTGTTGGATATATATATAATGAGTATTCATTTGCATAATAATTCTTAATTGATAATCACAGTGTGTTATTAATTTATATACTTATAATAACCTCATCATATTATATTTTTATGTATTCCTTTTTCTTTATTCTTTATGAACACTTATGTGTACATAAGCATGTTTAGCTTCATTAAATATCAAGTTGTTTACTGTGGAAAACGGTAAACAACCGCTAGTCCTCCCAAAGCCTAAAACTAAGAGTTACTCGCAAAATCGACTAGTTAATCCTAAGACATGTGCTAATAGAATGAAATGGGGCTTGTTATATCGATGCAATGCCTTACTTTGTGAGAAACAATTTTTCTCTAAATAAGGGAACAAGTAAAAGTTTTCCACAAATATGCTATGAATTGACTGACTGGAGGTGACTCGTGACTGACAGAAGACTAGGACTTGTCCTAAATGAAGTAAATGTTGAGTGAACTCTCAGTGAATTCCAGTATCATAATGGAACGAGATTCAATAACGTAAATGAAAATATAAAAAGATTGTTCAAAAGTAAATAAGATGAAAGCAAAATATTTAAAGGGTACAAACAAAAACAAAGGAGGCTGTGTTGAAATAAATGTGGTGATTCAGGTACATTAACACTCTTGAACTCTTTCTTCCTTACGCTTGGAAATATGGATTTTTACAAGTGATTTT